AATAATTCTGTTGGACTGGGATGATTTATCAAAGCCAAAGTTTTAGATCTTTGACGTCTTTCTAAATATATTTTTAACAACATGTAAACTGTTGAGTTGGAGCTAACACGGTCTGCAGACAGAGGAAGAAGTAAACATGATCTGTTCCTCTTTGTTGATCCAAAGACACTAAGCAGTAAAGTTGGAAGATGTCAAATAAACTGCATTTACCCTTTATGGTTATTTTATTCTAAACATCCTGTGTCCTCGTGAGCCTTCTTCTGAAACAAATGTTAAGTGTAATATTGAGGAAACAAATAACTAAAACCACTGATGTAGCAAGTATTAAAGTAGCCAAACACTAAGATGTCCATTTACTTACTCGGCCTACCAACAGTTTGAAAAACTCACTGTCAGTATACAGAGAAAAAAAAGAAAACACAAAAGTGTTACAGCTTTCATAATTCCTTTGCACTGGAACAACAGCTGGCTTGAAAAGCATTATGGGAAACTGCGCTGGGTTTACTGCTACTTTTTACCCTAGAGAGCATTTAATATCCAGACATATCCAGCTGGTGAAATCCTGAAAGCTGGTTCATCCGTACAACAGGTTTTTGCAGCTCTAATGAGGACACAGACTGAAGCCCGACAATATTCTGGCAAGAACAAATGTGAAGACAGATGGAAGGGAAAAAAATGGAAAAAAGACAATGTATGCACTGTGATGTACATACAGACTGAAAAGAGGAATGATTGTAGGTCACAGTAGGGCCCTGAGATAACGAGATACAACACATACTCAGCACAGTGAAACTCCACGTGGGGACATTTTTATTAATAACCTCCTATCGGATTTCTATATCTATAGAGAGCGGTTGATTCTATTGGCTGGAGGAAAACTGTTGGCTCCAGTTACACCAGATGTTAAAGTGTCCATCCCTCATTATTGGGTTCTCAAATCTGCAATCTAGATTCAGGTTCAAGTTGGTAAAATACCCAGATTTGATAGTTCTAGACACTCTAGACTACACTCATATAAAAATGTCTCATAGAGTACATGGGAGGGTCCTTTGGTTCCCAGAGTGTTATTTTACTGCTGTTAATTCCCCCTTCAGTTAGCACAACCTACTTGCAAGATACTAACACATACATTGAATGGGTCTATAATACTTTTAATGAGTTTAAAAGTTATTTTTTTGCTACAGTATCTGTACATTTCATTTACAGTATGGTTAATGTTATAGTATGGCAACTAAACACTTGTTTAAGGTTAATGATTGAAATGATTGTGAAGCAAGGTGAGGCTGGATGTATGATTCTTGCACAGGGAGATCACTACTGTGTAGGTTGTTATTTATAGTTCTGTTATTTGCACATTTTAATTGTAGGTCATGTGCTACACAACCCTTGTCCTGTCCTTTTGATCCTAGTCCTCTTCCTATGTAAAGGGAACATGACTACTTCAAACATATTGGATAATGGGTTCATCTGGATGTAAATCTGAGTTTGGAAGAGTACAACATGTACATACAGATATACGGATACAGTAGATTCACAAGGACACTACTACACTACATGTGACCTGAATGTTTTATCAGGTTTCTAGAAAGCATAACTTTAAGCTTGCAATAGTAGTGAAGGACTTCTTTCTTACATTTCGATAAACAAAGGTTTGCATCATTGATGTTTTCAACAAGTCAATCCAGTCATCAGAAGTGCAATTCACCTCGCTGTGACTGAAAAGAAAACCCTGGAGGCCTCACACACTCTTTCATACAAACTTCTTTGCTATTTTCTCCATGTAAAGTTTATGTTCGGCCTCTGAAGAAATACATTATCTGGACAACAATCTGATTTGAATTAGGACAACCTGGTCCCATCACGCAGGAGGTCCACAGATGGCAATTTATTTTGGAGGGGGAAAAACAATCTTACAGCTGAGTGCTTTTTGTGGCTCTCTAATTGTACATTAGTGTCCCAAATACAACGACAAGTGACAATAATGGACTTCCACCGCAGGCATAAATTAGCTGCAGTGGTGGAGAGCGGGGTTGCCCCAGTCCACTGTTTCCATTCTCATCGAGCTTTGGCCTTTTTTTTTTACTTTTGTGCTTGCTCCATCTGATTTTTTCATGCATTCAAAATAGAGAAAACCAGGTTGGCCTTCGCAGCTGAGGTTGTTTGAGTCCTGACTATGTGATATAGTAGCTTGTATATTGTTTTCAAATGCAAACTAAACAGTTTGGTGACAACTTCTACAGATGATTTGGACTTAAAATGGTTTAGGCTGATTAACACTGGAGATCTGTCTGTGAAGATTCTTAATCATCCAGGTCATGACATTTCTCTGGTTGCACTGTGTGCACATATTGATTTCTATTTCCTTTACTGACCTGAAGGAAGCTACATTTTTCCAAGATGAGAAAACACTGAACAATTTAATCTGCAGAC